TACAGGGTCTACAGGGTCTCACTACATAGATCAGACATGGAATGATTCTCCTGTTTACAGCTTTCCAAGCGCTAGGATTACGGCGTGTGCCACCATGCCCAGTCTCAGTGTGTCCCGGGGTGGGGTCAGCACTGCAGGCCCAGGGATTGAACTTCCAGCCCCCAGCGTCTGCCTAAGCAGGCGCTCTAATCCACTGAGCTATTTGGCTGGCCATAAATTGACTGTCTTAGTGAGTTTACTAAATAACCTTTCTCCGAATTTTAGAATGAAACATGCTGCTTATGACAGAATTAGGTATTTGAGATATGAATTGAGTGTTTTAAAATCTTTGTATCATACAACAGAAATATGTTGATATATGTTGAATGTTAAGAGGTATTTTCATAGATTTGACTAGTTTCTTGACAAAGTTAGGACATTAGGGAAAGGAACACTGAATACAAATGAATGGGATAAGCAACTGAGACCTAAAATTTGGCTTTTGATCTTAAATATTTAATTTGTTCCTGTAAGCCTTGTCAATAAAAAAAAAATTGGAAAAAAATAAAATAAAAACTAAAAACTGCAAAAGATCAATAAAAAGAGAGTTGGTTTTCTCAAAGGGTGAGCAAAATTGACATTTAGCTAGACTAATCAAGAAAAAGTAAAAAAGAAGACATTTCATTTGATACCACACAAATACAAAAGACCACAAGAAACTATTATGAACAATTATATGCTAAACAACTGGGAACCTTAAGCAAAAATAGTTAAATCTCTGCACACGTATCATCTATCAAAACTGAATCAAGAAGAATCAGAAAACCTAAACAGACCAATAATGAACAATGAGATTGAAGTGATAATTAAAAATCTCCCACCTACCAAAGTCCAAAACCTAATGCTCTAGTGCTAAGTTCTACAAACATTCAAAAAAGAATTGCAATTCTTCATAAACTATCAAAACAACTGAGGCAGAAGAAATGCTAACAAACTCTTTTTACAAGGATGACATGACTTTGATCCTAAAGCTAGATTGAGCAAAAACAAAAACAAAACCCCACAACCTATAGATCCATTCTCAGCAAAGAACTCGCAAACCACATTCAACAGCACATCAGAAATGCAACACACCGTGACCAGGTGGGATTTATCACAGGGTTGCAAGATGGTTCAACGTGCACAAATCAATAAATGTGATTCAACACAGAAACAGGATAAAGGGCAAAAACCATATGATCAGTTCAACAGAGAATGAGCACCCAGTAAGACTCCTTTATAATAAAAACTCTTAACAAATTAGGTATGTAAGGGTTAAGCCCCTGACCCCTACAGTCCAAAGCCAGTATCATACTGAGTGGGGAAAAAGGCTGGAATCAACACAGATGCCCACTTTCTCCACGCCTGTTCAATTCAGTGCTGGAGGTCATAGCAAGAGCCACTGAGCATGGTGAAAACCACAAAGGGCACCAAGTCAGAAAGCAAGGAGCTAAACGATCCTTGTTTGCAGCTGACATGATTCTGTACAGAGAAAAGCCAAAACACCACACCAAAAACATTGGTGGGATTTAGAAACAAGTTCAGTAAATCTGCAGGACAGAAAATCAACATAAACAAATACACTAATAATAAACTTACTGAGGGTCACAGATAAAGCTCAGTGGCACAGACCTGCCTTGCAAGTGCAAGGCTGTGAGTTCAAGTCCCAGTATAAAAAAAAAAAACTTATTGAAAAGAAATTGAAGCAATCTCATGGACAACAGCTACACAAATATATTTAATAATAAACTTAATCAACAAAGTAAAAGATCTCTACAATGAAAATAATAAAACATTAACGAAAGAAACTCTACACAAAAAATGAAAGCACATTCCATGTACACAGACCAGAAATACCAATACTGTGCAATGACTACACTGCCCAAAGCAATTTATCGATTCTGTGCAATTTTTATCCAAATGCCAAAGACACTCCTCACAGACACAGGAAACAACCTAAGACTCCTACCCAGAATAGCCAAAGCACTCCTGAAGGGAGAAAATGCTGCAGGCATAACAGTACCCAATATGAAAACATACCTCAAAGCTACAGTAACAAAATTAGTTGGTACTAGCATGATGGAAGGAAGGGAAGAGAGAAGCCAGGAGGCAACCCGTGTCCGCAGAGCCAACTGAGTTTTGGCAAAGCAGCCAAGCACACACAGTGAAGCACGGAGCACCCCTCAGGCAGCAGTGTGGGCGAAACGGGGATGCCTGCAGAAGGCTGAGGCCACGCTCCTCCCCTCACAGAGAAAAACAGCAACCCAAATGGGTCCAAGACCTAAACATGAACCCTGAAATTACCACAAGAAAACGGAGGGGGAACACTCAGGAAGATTTTTAATTACTATAATAGCAAACTTCTTTTTTCTTTTTTTCTTTTTTGTTTCATTTTGAGACAGGGTCTCACTACATAGTTCAGGCTGGCCTTGAAGTCACTTTGTAGCGCAGGCCGGCCTCAAACTCACAGGGACCCTCCTGCCACAGCCTCCCAAGCGCTGGGATTACAGGCATGGCCTGGTTTAGACAAATACTGTTAGACAGGACCCCAAAGTCACAGACAGCACAAGGAAACCAGACACACGAGACGCTGCCATGTCAGGAACATCTGCCCAGCCAGGGAACGATCAGCAGAATCGTGACGTTTGCAGATGAGGACTATGTACGAAAGGAGACCGCTTAAGCAGAGTGAGGGCAGCTGGTTTCTCTGAGGCTAGCAAGAAATAAAAATCAATAAATTTATATTACATGCAATATTACACATGACATTAAATATAATCATCTGAGTTTTACATCATATGTGACTATATGTAATAAATTTACTAATTCCTTACATAATGTTAGCACTGAATGAAAGATGCACCTAGAGGACGGTTGGGCAAATATTCAACCTGTCAAAAGCTTTACTGGAACCCAGCTCTACTGGCCGCTGCCTTATCCCTCCTCACCCACTCCCCAAGCCTCGCACTCTCACGAAGTACTTTATTCCTCCTAGTGCTGACTCGGCCAAATTGAGCCTGACAGAAGTGGCTGTGTGGCTGCCGCAGGCCGGAGCGCATGCGTCTCAAAGCTCGGGACAGTTGCTATTTGTTCTTTCCAGAAACAGGCCAGAGCCTCCGCTGGGAGACAGACACACTGAAAAAAGAAAGACACGAAGAAAATGCACACTTACGTGCATGTCAAAATAAAATCCAGAAAAAACCCAAGTATAAAAAGAAATATTTGAAAACTGTTACAAGAGAACCTTTTTATGAGCTTGATTTAGGGAATCATTTTATAAATAAATATATATTTTAAAGGAACAGTCTGCTAAATTAAATTACATTGGATTTATGTGGTTCAATAAATACAAATCATGCCTCTGGCTTGAAAAAACTCTGCTTTGCGTGTAACTGACAAAGAATTAGTGTTCAGAATATTTAGAGACTCTTCAGCCCCTAAACTCATGAACTCCTAGAGTTCACTTATGAATGCCTAGAGCTTGTAAGAAAAATAACCAGATAGGCAAAAGGACACCTGAAGTGCTTCACTAATATGTAGAGAACCCAAATTAAAACCACATTCAATTAGATTTCATACTCATCTAATGGGCCAAAAAAAAGGGCCAAGTTTTAAATGACAAGAACAGCAAACAGCGCTTCTTGCACAGCCCACAACAAGACTACACAGCGTTCCAAGCAGCCGCGTCGTGGCTGGCTGGCTTCTCCGCAGGACAGCTCTATAACGGGTGACGGTGCTCGGCTAGCGTATGAGACACCTAAGACATAGAAGGAGGGTAAGAAAGTGAGTGCGATCGTACGGCTCCCACTCAGGAGAGGCCAGGACACTGAAGTCCTGGAGTTTGGCCACCAGTACTAGACACTGTTCTGGATAAAAGGAAATGCACTTCATCGCAAGAGTAAAAAGAGGCCCGATCTATTTGAAGAGCAGCTTCACAGCATCTATTATAATCGAAGACGAGTAACTCCTCAATCAGCAATTCCTCACAGAAGCAGTGGTGCTGCCGACTCCTGCTCGCTAGGTAGACAGGACAAGTGGCTGATGGAACATGGCCCGGGGCTCCACGGACCCTGGCCTGCTGCCAGAGGCCCCGGCCTCAGGACGTGTGCAAACTGCAGAGCTGCTCCCGACACACGACACACGGGAGAGGCACACCACGGCTGTGGAAGCGAAGGGGTGAAGACAGCTTACAATGCAGCGGCCACGTGAGCTCTTAGGCCACGCGGCTAAGACCTACATAGACTCTAAAGTGGATGGGAAAGGACTACATGAAGCAATACTAATGTGCCTTCAAAGCATAAGGCTGGAAGAAGACCACACGAAGGGTGAGATTTTAATAAAGCTTCATAAATGTGAAAAGTATTACAGTTTGTTATCTATACATAAATATTCTATAGCAATAGTATAAAAACACACACGGCAATGACAGCTGTCAGCAGAACGCGGATCACTGCTAGGCAGAGAACTGGCCTGGGAAGGAAGATACAGTAAGTAGGCACTATCACATACACCATGGCTCTTTATCTTTTTAAATATTTGCTCCAAATAATTTGTTAAGCATTGCTAAAGCTGAGCACTCAGTACCCAGTGAGCTCTCATTTGCTGTAATCCCCCCAAGTCTACTGCAAGCAGCTGGGACAGGGGTCCCTTGCCGGGCGGGGAGCGAGAGCTCCTACTCCTCTCAGTGTCTAGGGGAAGCAGAGGAGAGGTCAGCAGGGGCCGTGGCATCCACAGAGGCCTGGACTTGGAAACGGGGTGCTCAGGCTGGGGGGGAGGCCCACACCGCGGTTATTTCAGCGTGTGTGCACGCAGGCAAGTGGTCCCACTCTCAGCAGTCTGCAGCTCAGGGTGGGGCTGGGGGTGGGATAAAGGAATGTTTACTGGAGGAAGTGAATGGGAAAGGCCTGGGACTCAAGGATGCTGGGAAGAATGGGCCATTACTGTGTGAGACTGAGGGTGGACTGGAAGTCCGGAGCGCTCACTCAGGACTCCTCCAGATCCTTCTGCTGTTCTGCGAGCTGCAGCAGGCAGGACTGTAAGCCCAGAGACACAGCAGAGACTCATGGGTGAGCCCCAGTTAGACGGCCAATTCCCAGGCCCTTCAGTGGGAAGCTCCCAGACGAGAGCACACACGAATTCCAAGTCACTTGAACTCCCTCTGCCTCAGCCTCTGTCCTGCTAATGGCAAATAGCGCTTATTTCCTCCATCTCAGGGAGATGACCTATAATGGTAGCAAAGTGCATGGCACACAGCAAGAACTTAAGGAAGATTGGCTACGGTGAGAAAGCGGGTCACATGTGAAGAGCCAAGAACGAGACTTTCTCAGAGGTAACACACGGAGGCAAGGGGTCAGGCCTCACAATCCCAAGAAGAAGTGTTCCCAAATTCTAATTGTGCTAATTCACCCATCAGTGGCTGAGGGGAGACTAAGGGCCTTTGAAAACAGCCATGCATGCAGAAAAAAACTACCCCATGTTCTCTCTTTGGGACTTGCATGAAAAGGCACAGAAGAAAAACAAGAGTGGACCAAGAAAGAGGGCGGCGAGGCCAGGAGGCTGATGGCAGGGCCCAGACGGGCCACAGGAGGGGGCTCGGAAGCCAGGGCTCTGCACAAAGGCAGGTCAGAAGTTTTTTGATAGAATGGAGTTTGGAGGACAAAATAAAAACTTGCTACAGGCATGTCACAGCCATGATGAAGCACTTAGGAAGAAATTCAGGACCAATATGTGGAACAGAATAAAATAGAAAAAAATACAGCTATGAACTCCAGAAAAACTTCAAAATTAAAAGAAAGGCAACAGAATACACTGCTTGGTTGTATGAGAAATCTTTTTTTTTTTCTTTTCAAAGTTTTATTGATAAACATATAGCAATGAGACAGTTTCAACAAATAATACACTGCATATATTCTTCTTAGAGATTAATTGCTGTACAAGATGCAGACTTGTGATCCTACTTACAAACACCATATAAGGTTTTTGTTTTGGTTTTTTTTTTTTGGTTCCTCGAATGCCTTCAGGGCACTTTCAGCCAGCTGGAGAGGTGTGAGGTTTGAACTGAGAAATCTTTATAAACTATACTCATTTATTGCATAAAAACTGAGCATTACTACACTAGGAGGATGAAAGTTGGGAAAATGGAGTTTGAGGCTAGATAGCCAAATCCTCATCTACTGCAACTGAAAGTCCACAGGTAATTCTTCCAGTTGATAAAGCAAAATAGGCAACTGAAGTCACATGAGCTAAGTAACACCAGGAGCAGCTGAAGCAGCCCCAGAGAAGCACTAGGAGCTTGGTTTTCACACAAGTGTGTCCACAGAGCACACGAGGACAGCCACACAATGGATCTGTGCAAGGTGAACCAGAATGGGCTCCGAGAGTGAGTCTCAGCATGTGGGGCACCCAGTGAGGGCACTTTACAGAAGTTCATGCTGGCCATGTGGACGTCTGTATGTGCCCACACACTTTAGTACAAACGCCTTTCACCGAGTGCTGTGGTCAAAGACAGCTGAAAGCTCTTCATCCAACACGCACGACTTACATGTCAGGTTTGGGGATCTGACCTATAAGCCCCTGGGAGGGGAAAGCCATCCATCTCATCCTTTGGTGTCTAGCAAAACACTGATATGCAGTAAACTGGAAACAGATACTGTGTTAGGGTTAGCAAGTAAAAAAGTCCCTGGTCCCTACTGTCTTGGTTACTCTTCTCTTGTTGCTGGGACAAATACCTGACACTCCAAATAAAGGAAGGAAAGGTTTACTTAGCTCCTAGTTACTGGCGGTTTCAGTCCATACTCAGTTGGCTCCAAGGCAGAGGGCAGCAGTTCATGGCAGTGGAAGGCAGCAAAACAGCAAGAGCAAAAGGGAGGAGTAATTGCAACAGAGAGCAAGTCTGTCTCCTTGTCTCTTCTATTACATTCAGGCTGTCCGCCCCAGGCTGGGTGGAGTATTCACACCCATAATCCCAGCAGTACTCAGACCCATAATCCCAGTAGAGCATGAGTTAATCACAAGCTCTAGGAGTAAGTCCACCCCATGACTTACTTGAGGCTTTGGGGGGACACCTATACACGAGCCATAACACCTACTAAGCACCTAGTAGGCACCAGAGCCCTATACCCGGTCCCTCGCGGCCGGCCACGCCGTCTCTGGATCCAAGGCTGGAGGTGCGCGTGCCGGCACGCGGCTCCTCTGCTGGCCAGCTCCTCCGCCTCGCAGCCCCCTCACTGCATCTGCCTGCAGTCTGGCTCTGACTGGCGGAGGTGAGGCTCTGTCATCACCCGCACTGTCATCAGCCCTTGTGTTTTCTCGACCATTCTTACCCCACTGCCATAGTTATTTATTCAGTGTGCCTCAGAATATAGCTTCTTTCCTACACAATTTCTACTCTTTAAAAGTATTATGATTGTTTGAAGTTCAAGCAGGTTTAGTTTTATTTTTGAAAATGTTTTCGTAAGTTAACAAAAGATATCAATGATTCCTTGGAACTCCATAGGATAAATTATTAAAATCAGAATACATATCAGATACTTAGCACATGTTTTGTTTAAAAATTAAATGATCATTTAAGAAATACAAGGCTTCCAGTGAGAAAGTGCACTGACTACAGCATAGGGCTGGGCTGGCTGCGCCTCATCTGCTCTGAGGAGATGTGCGCAACCTCTCCAGGCTAATCCGTCTTCTGAGAGGGCAACTTTGTCGTCCCAGCCAACTATGCATGCAGTAGATGTACTGCTCGGAATTTAAATAAATACATGAAGCACAAGAAGATATATTTGCTCTGGATGACTGATTCTCCAGGCCAGCCGCTGCTCCGAGTGAGAACCCCGAGCCCGCGAGCGGCATCACCTTACCATCCCCACTCCCAGCAACGGCCTCGGGTAATGTGTGAACACTCGGAAACATGATACAAACAAAGCCCAGAGTCATAAACTAGTACAGTCCTCCCTTACTTTACAGAGACTGAATTTATGTCCCCTATAAAAATATGTTTTTCTAGTCTAGCTTCCAGGATAGAGAACAAACTCAGTAAAATTTAATATTTAAGTGTCTGCTACAAATAACTTAGGGTCATCACTGAGCAGCAGCGCAGTCACTCCTGATGTGCGGGTAAAGCCGCCCACTCCAGGCAGAACTATTTGTCTGGGGTGCAGGCGGCGTGAGGCAGGAAATGAGCGGGGCCACTGAAAAGCGGAGAGACATCAGTTAGATTTTCTCCTCCTGCGAGGGCACGGTGCTGTTACGTCTGCTCTTAGAAGGGAGCATCTAGGTGCAGAAAGCTGAGGTGAGTCACTCTGCAACGCAAGGCAGAGGACCGGAGTCGGTTCGGCGCCAACCCTGCCGCCCCCGACTCCCAATCACATCACCCTGCTCGGCAGAAGCGGCACTCAGAAGCCAGGGTTTGCACTGAGATGAGACAAACACAACAAAAACACACCAACCAACCCACTGGGAGTGAACGTTTGCAGCACACTGCAAACAACCCACGCACTAAACAACCAAAATGCTCCAATCATAACGCAACCTGTCTTTAATGCACAAGGAGCGAGAGCTGGCAGGACAGCGAAGCCCACTCAGGCTGGAGGGAAAAAGGGATGCGGGGGCGCAGGATACCAGAAGCCAGCAGCTAGAAGGCAGCTCACGCACCCTAGGTGCGGCCTCGGTGGGCACAGATCCGCTGAGCCCTCTGCCCTCTGTTGCCACCCGAAGGAGCAAGAAGGGACTGCTGGCTGTGGCCATGCACAGGGGTGTGTCTCCCCCAGAAAGAGGTGACCCAAACGTGGCCAGCACACAGACAAGGACATAAGAGATGATGTGGGCTGAACAACTTCAAACAGCATTATAACCTGTCCCTGGGCTGACAATGTCCAAGGCCCTGGGACAAAGCACTAAAACTCCTTTTTGAAGCACAGGCCCCACAACTTGACTTCTAATTGCCAAAATCTAGAAATTCACTAAATCTAATTAAAATGAGTAAATAATTTATGGAATACTCATACAATGAAATTATAAAATAACAGACATATGAATAACAGTTACACATATGAATGAATCTCACACAGAATGCCAAGCAAAGGAAAAAGTACTTAAGCAGACACCCAGTATGATTCTATTTTTTGAAAAGTATGTTGAAATAAGTGTTTAGATATCCAAATATATGCAGTAAAATCATAAGGAAAAGCAGAAAGGCAAGGCGTATACCAATTCAAGAACAAAAGCTTTTTCCTAGGAAAGAAAAAGGGGCTCATATTTGACGTTAAAAAATATAGGAATGTCTTGAACATAAGAAAGACTTTAAATCTGAAAAGAAGACAACTCATTTCCTTAGAGACCCAGGGAGCGCACAACAGGCAAGCGCAGGGACCCCGGGACATCCTGAAGCTAGGCTGTGCGACGCTGCAGTCCACAGCGCAGGATACAGCAGAGCAGAGCAGAGCGTGACACCTAACAGGAAGAAGCATGCTTAATTAATCTAATTAACATCTTGGAATAAGCAGCGATGACAAGTGACAAGTGTGAAAGCCTAGACATAATCAACCTGGTCTTCCAGAAGGTCTGAGATATGGTATCGCATATGGATCTGTAGATCTGATTACTGCCCCTGCTGAAATGCCGGCACACTAAGAGCGCGCTGAGTGGAGGCCGGGGGTGCTGATCTGTCAGGAGTCACACGGCAGAAACATCTACGTTCAGCTTGGCTACTGAGAGGATCTGCACCTGAGAACATGAATACTCATATAAATGAACTGCGACCCACAGCAGGAATGGAATTTGCAATAAGAAAGAATGGTAAAAGATTTCTTTTTGAAATTAAAATCAAGAAGAACATGTTAATGCTCACAAGAAAGCAACCGCAAGTTGCTTAAGAAGAGATACATAAATCAGACCAAGAGCAAGTCAGGCCAGGGTAAGGGCGGGCGGGCGGGCAGGCGGGGTGGGAGAAAGATGGTCTCCCCAATAAACAGCTCAGAACAGCTGGACACGCACACTGAAAACTAGGAACCTCAGTCCTCATCTCCTACTGCACACCAAA